CAGAGTAAGAAATCAGAGTCAAAATATGTTGTATATTTGGTGACAAGATTCGAAATCAGAATTAATCCGAATTCTACTCATGCATTTACTTATACTTATAATCGAAATAAACTGGTATAAAATACTAATTTACCTTTTAAGTAATTTTTATATTTTTAATTTAAAAAATAATTTGTGTAATTATTATATTAAAATTTATCATGGTTAAGTTATTAATATATAATAATAGGGTGATTAAATAATAAATAGAAGTTGCATAATTAATTTGAATAACATAAATAAAAATAAATAATAAAATGTATTAAAAATTAAACTATATTATTAATTTTAATAAACATAATAAAGTACATATCTATTATAATAAAATTAACAATAACTAGGCTAATATTATTATATTAGGTAAATAAAATAATAAATATAGGGTGTAGTTATTATTTTTTAATTTCATATTTCTTTATATTTTATAAGTAAACTAGGGTTAAGATACTAATTTAATGTTAATATTAGAAATGAGAGTCTTAATCTAGAAAGGGGTCCTCAGATTGTCAATCTCATTTCTATATCCTAAATTTGAGTAGGCCTTACTAATTTCACTCTCATTTCAAGATTAGAAAGAGCAAGTAAACATGAGATTGATTCTCATTCCCCACTCCTATTAAGTAAACACGCTTTCAACTTGAATCCTTTTCCAGTAAAAAAAAAAAAGAAAGAAAAACTCATAGTTCGGTTCAAAAATAGTAAAACATTATTCAACAAAAAGAAAAAAAAAATAGTAAAACATTGAATTAAACACTTTGAACTCATTTTTAGTCCTTAAAGGATAAAACCAAGTTTTATTTTAGTCATTGATTTTTAAAACATACTAAAACGAAGCCAAAATGATACCAAGTCTCCTAAAACATTTAGGGCCGGCTCGGAATTTTATAAGTTATTTTCAAAAAAAACTTTTAAAAATATGATGTTTGGACCGGCCCAGTCTGACTCAAAAAGAGAGAGAGCCGGGCTAAGCCCAAGATTAATTAAGGTAATTAAGATTTATTAGTGTGTCTAATTTAGTTTAATTAATTGATTATTGGTTAATAAATGTTTCTGACGTGTAAAGTTGAATAATTCTAAGGTATTTAAATATTCTCAGTATTTACATTTTTACCCAGAAGTGTGTATGGGCACATTTCTGGACTCTCATTTTAAATATTGGACACTTGTCTTTTCTTTTCTTTTTCTTTTTCTTTTTTCTTTCCTTTTTCCTTTTCCTTTCCTTTCCTTCCCATGCATACTCTCTCTCTCTCTCACTATCACCCTCTCGTTCTCTCACTCCTACTCCCTCTCTTCCATTTTTGTCTCAAATCAACCGGATCTTGAACCAAGAAAGGATTTAAAGAAGTTTTCAACGTCAAGAGAAGGATTTGAGGTAAGATTTCTGAAAACCTTTCTTGAATCTCGGATTTTGTATATTAGAAAACCTATTTTGGTTCAAAATAGATTTTGATGGATTTTGAGTAAAACCATGATAGGAATTTGAGATCTTGGGTTCTTTGGACTTGATTCAGTACCTAGAACCCGAATCTAATGGTTTTTCCTTGAGATATTTCAATTTGGGACTTGGATTTGCAGGTTTTGTGTTGATTTTCTTCAGATCGGCCCTTCTGGCCATCCTGCCATTGATTCCACCGGTCGTCTGCACTACATCAGGTCGACCTGTGCAGTCGACCGAAGTGCACACCACCGGTCGACTGGTGGTGTTGTATACTCTGTCACCGGTCGACCAGTGTGCACTGGGTTTAACCATGTTTTGCCTGAAAACCCCTATTTTGACCCCAATTTTGAGGAGAACCCAAATTAGCTTCATTTGGGGACCTAGAGTAAATGGATTAGCTTCTTTAATCCATATTTTGAGATTAAAAACCCTTGGAATGATGATTTGAAACATGAAATGGTTTGTGAAACTGGTAATTGAATTATGGCACACTAATAGGAAATCATATGGTATAATTGAGATTGAAATTACTTTAGGATTGAGAATTTGATCCTAAAGTGTGGTTTTGTATCAGTGCTAGCTGAGGACTCGGATTGAGGGGCTTGAGGAAGCGAAAGCCGGAATAGAGTAACGCTAGCCAAGTTTGATATTTACGAGGTAGGATTTCTTACCCCTTTCTTTGTGAGCCTGTTTTCAAAAAAGATTTTTGGCCTTGCAAATGTTTTAAAGAAAGGGCATGTTTGCGAAAGAAAAATATTATTACCCCCACGACTTGTGTAGATTCTGGGGAGTCTAATGAACTGTTTCATAAAGTTTAGGGAATGATTTCTTAAGACAAAAGATCTTGTGAATTGGTAAACTGGCTGATGGCCTAGACAGGATATGGAGAGTGCATCCTTAGGGGCAGGACCCGAAACCCAGCCCGGGGTGATATGGCTTGTACATTTGGTTGTGTAAGTAATTTATCATAGTATAAATTACTTGTTGATGCCTGTAATACGGAAATTTTCAATCATATTTCCTTTGAGAAAAAGGATGTGAGGTTCCGGCTATTGTGTTGGAACTGAATGTCTATATTTATTCATTTATTTATTTGCTTATTCACTTATTTATAAAGTTATTTCAAAATATATCATATTGGGCCTTTCGCTCACGTTTTATTATTTTATAAATGTTAAACCCCTCCCAGGTGACTCTAGGAGCAGTGTGGAGTAGCTGAGTTGCTACCACCTAAATTTGGTAAGGATTGTGTTCATCCTCCCTGTGTATGAATGTAAGAATTTGTAAATTCTGTAAACTCTGATATTTGAATTCCTAGACTGTGGTTGATGTCTGTAATGTTATTTACATGTTCATGTATGTACGATACTGAAGATCCTATGGATAGATCATGTGGGTGTAGCCCTGAACAATGTTACACCCAGAACAATGTTAGAGGCTTGAGTTTTAATCTCTCCTTTGGAATGTATAATTTAATTCCCGCTCAATAGTGGGGTTCGTTTGGGAATTTTCTTAATATTTATTCTTAATCGCGTTTAACCCCTAATCGAGCCTCCACGTCACCGACCCCTACCCCGGGGCGTGACAGATCCGGACTAGAATTTACAGTGACAGACTTTGTGCTGACCCGTTTAACCCGGTCCAAACTTACAACTCTACTACCAACCTAATATGTTTAACACTTTAAGTTGGAAAAGATGCACTACGATGGAGTAACAATTGACTAGTTCAATCTAGACTAACATGTTATTCAGGAAAAAAAAAAAAATCTAGACTAACATGCCAAACTTATGATTGAGGGCTAGTTTGGTAGTGCTGTAGATTATGAAAAAATTACTTTTAGCTGTGCTGAAGGAAAAAGTAATTGTTACAAAAAACAGCTGGATGTTTGGTAAATTGTAATTATACAAGTGTTGCTGGTTCCAAATATAGTGTAATGGCGTTTGATAAATTGTGAGGTTGAATTGATGTGTGTAGTTAAGATGACCGTAATTAATAATATTAAATTACTATATAAAGTAATTGATAATTGATAATTATTTAGCAAATAAAAATTAATATATTAATAATATAATAATAATGGATAATTTATTATTAATGAGTATGTTAGTAATTAAACTATATATATAATAAATTAATATGCTAAATAATTAAAAATAGTAGTAATTAATTATAAGTAATTACTATGTTAGTAATGCACTCATATTTCTTAGATTATACGTAATTAATTAGTGTATTAAGAAAATAATTAGTATATACATAATTTATTAATATAGATAATTATTCTTTTTATAATGATTAATTACTAATTATCAATTATTAATTATTATTGATTAATATATTACATATTCATAATTATAATTTAATATTAATTATTAATTGAGTAATTACTTTTTATTTTTTATTTACAATTAATCTTTAACTAAATAAATAATTACTATATTATTTATTATTTTATTAACAAAATTAAAAACTTAATAGTAATAAATTAATATCTAATTAATAATTAAGTAATTATTATCTATTTATTAGTTATTAAGTATATCTATTTATTAATTATTAATTAATATTTAATATAATTAGTAATTAATAATTAATAATTTAATATAACTTTATTAATAATCATTAATTATACTATGCTGATTGCTTTAATTTAATAAATTATTAAATAAATTTTACATTTTATTATTTGTTTGGTAGTGACTAAAAACTAAGTTGTCTTTGGGCTGTTTCTGATTTTGACTGTATATTCTTCATAAATTCTTTAAAAATCACTTTTTATAGTTTTTATTAAACACCATTATCAACTTCTGATTGCTAGTGATTTTGGCCTCCAAAAAGTACTACCAAATACACCCTGAATCTTTTTTGTATCTATCTGGTTATAAAAAGAAAAGTAAAAGTTGTAACAAAAAAAGAATTTAGACTGGATAGTAAATTATTTGAATATAAAAAATCAAAACCAAAATTAATAAAAAATGACCTTACGGAATCACAAGGTCTCACGAATAACACTTGTAAATTGATGTGTCGAGTAACCTTCTTAATATCGGGTTTTATCTTATATCGTCTTTTTTGTGTTCTATCAAAATTTATTGTTCTATTATGTGTCACAGGATCATCTGCATTATTATTAGTGTCTATAAGACTTTTTAATCGAATAAAATTTTACTTAGAAAAAAAAACACTTGTAAATTTGTTGTTTCACGACAAGTCAACTAAGGGATTGTGAAATGTGACGGGTAAAAATATGTACAATTTATTTGGCCGAGAACAAGCATCTCTATGGAATATGCCCCAAGTAATTTCCGCATTCAAAGTGGGTAATATGGTCATTTAAGACGCTCCTTATCCGGTCAAACAAAATTCCAAAAGCAAAGGCGAACTGGAAGAAATGGAAAAGGGAGGGGCAAAATGGTAAAAGGAAAAAGCTGAGAGAAAAGAAGCTACAATGAAAGGAAGGTGGGCCCCAGATTTAGAGGCAAAACGATGCGCTGGCTTCGTATAAAAATAGCTAATTTCGCAGAGAAAGAAGAGAAAATCGCTCTCTGTCTCTCTAAACTGATTATTTAAGAAATTTTCCTTTCGTTTTTTCTTTTCGTTGTCCGAGAATTTTCTGTGAAGAAGCAAGCAAAAGAGAAAACTAAAGAAGAAGAAAACGAGAGATTTTTCTGAGTAGCAATGGCGGATCAGCTCACTGACGACCAGATCTCCGAGTTCAAGGAAGCTTTCAGCCTCTTCGACAAGGATGGCGATGGTTCGATCTCTCTCTCTCTATATATATATGTATATATATATTTACATGTATATAATTATCTGTGTTGAGATCTTGTTTTGATGGATATGGTTCTTTTGGTGCTATTCAACGGGTTCGGGTTTAAATATCTTGTGTTGGTGTTGACTTTATGCGCTTTTTCGCCGTTCCTGATTTTGTTTTTCGTTTTGTCGATTTTTTTAATCTTTTTTATATGAAGTACTTGATTAGTCATTAGTTTGTCCTGTTTCATTTTTATTGAATATGTTTGTAGCAATTGTTATGGTATTTGTGTTTTATCTTGAAGATGTGCGCTGTTTGGCTGCTGGTAAAAATTGGGGGAAGAATTCCAAAAAGAAAAAAAAAATCAAATTTTTTGGATCTTGAAAGTTGAAATATCAGTAGCAGTAAAATACACCATTAGATCTTTCATCTTTCACATCTGGGAAAGATAGGATCGTTTGATATAGGAGAGTATTTTTTTTTTTCGTTGGAATGTAATTGATGTATCCTCAAATGAGGAATTGCTTATTGATTGCTATTTTGATTTTTCTCAGGACTAGATATTGTAGTAGAATAAATTCTCCATTGAAAATGTTTTTTATTTATTTTTCTAGTTAATCAATCAATTCTTCAGATTTGATCTGGATTTTATCGGAATTTTCCAAAGAATACATAAACGCAACAGCTTAAAGGAGAACATTAACAAAGTGTGTATCAATTTTTTATCTTTGAAGAAAAAGGAGAAATTTACTTTAATGACATTTTGGTTTGTTAGGGGCATAACGAAGAAAAAAAAAAAAAAGCTGTTCTTTCTTTGATTTATCACTTACATCCTAGTATGTTTTTTAAACATTTGAGCAACCCATGAATTGAATATTGCTGTTATGTGCCATCGAGTGCACACTTTTTGTTGTATTCAATTGTTTAAAAGTTCTTCTATACGATTGTTGATATGAAGCTATTTCATATCATTTGGTGTTGTCTTAGTTCAGATTCCGCGTTTAATATTACTGCTCTGTCATATGGCTGGTGTGAGCTTAGCACTATAATGTCTGTGGCACTGCTAATGCTAAAGTTTAGTAGTTGATGGCAGTGGTTCTCGAAATTTTGTACATTTTTTTATGTTTTTGTTTTGTCGCACCTGCTGGGTATATATTTCTTATGGTTCTTGTGCTTGTTGTCATAATCCTTGTAGCAAATATATAAACATAAATTGTATTTGAGCTACAAGTTCAGCTTCTGATGTAGTGACTCCAAAAACTTTCCAATCTCCTCGTCTGCTGCTTACTAGAGCAGCTTGGAAAGGATGTGTGGCCACCGAGAAAACAAAGTATATGTTTCTAATAGTTCCAATGTATGCAGGCTGCATCACTACCAAGGAGCTTGGAACTGTGATGAGGTCTCTGGGGCAGAACCCAACTGAGGCAGAGCTCCAGGACATGATCAATGAGGTCGATGCTGATGGAAATGGAACTATCGACTTTCCTGAGTTCTTGAACCTGATGGCTAGAAAGATGAAGGATACCGACTCGGAGGAGGAGCTGAAAGAGGCCTTTAGAGTCTTTGACAAGGACCAGAATGGATTCATCTCTGCTGCTGAGCTGCGCCATGTGATGACAAACCTTGGGGAGAAGCTCACTGATGAAGAGGTTGATGAGATGATTCGCGAGGCTGATGTTGATGGGGATGGCCAGATAAACTATGAGGAGTTTGTTAAGGTTATGATGGCGAAGTGATAAGCTATCCATGGCAAATGAACATGACCCCCAAAAAAGAATTTGAAAAAAAAAAAAAAAAAAACACAAAAACAGGGTTGACATTCAAGGGATTCATATTTTCCTTTTTCCTCAACCTTTATGTGACGGTTTTTGTAATCAAGCCTTTATAGAAGTAGTAGTCTGTCCTGGTGGTGTTCAGTCTTGCCCTTGATGTGTCCTGTGACTAAAAGTGTCTTTGGTGGTCTAATTTTTTTCCCCCCCCTTTTCTTCATTTTGGTCTCTTGTGAATCTTAGACTACCTGAAGAATTCAATGTCCAATGTTTGATGGATGTCTTATATTTTGCAGTTATTATCCATGTTCTTCTTAATGCTGATCCAGATGATTGTTAATGTTCTATCTTGTTTAATATATTCTTGAAATGCTGATCTACGATTCTACATGATTATTGATGTCCATCTATGCTGCCTAGGAGAACCTTTGTACAATAGTATTTCTAGATATGAATGGATTTGTTTCTTAAAATACCCATCGTTTTAGAAACAAACAAACGTGTAAAACATAATCAGGCTTAAAGCAACTGTAAATAAAACATTTTCTTATGTGTAATGCTAAGGTTATTAACTTAAAAGAAAAAAAAAAAACTAAAAATACCATTCAAAATGGATAAAAAAAAATTATTTAAGCCACTTCATTATAAAAATAAAAATTTGTTATTCAATTAATAGAGAAAAAATAAAAAGTTATAATGAAACTTAATTATTTAGAAGAGATAAAATAATTTTAGTACTCTATTATAATGAAACATTTCAGTGGTATTCTGTGTTTTTAATTAGTATCTTTGGCTCTACAAAAAAAATGTTTTTTTAGTACATTAAAATTGATTTTTGAGATGATGTTCATTTTACCTTTCTTATTGACTTTATATGTCCTAAAAATCGTGTCAAGTATTAAAAAGAAGTTTTTTTTTTAAGTAAAGTTATTGTTTTAATATATAAAAAACACAGAATACAAAGAGATGTTTCGTTATAATAAATGATAATAAAATAATTTTATTTTTATTAAAAATGATATAAATAATAGACACACAAAACCATGACAAATCATCTTTTAACTTTAATCTCAATTTTGTAACTAACAACTTATTTCCAAAAAGGAAAGTTTAGATGAAAGTAGATGTTTTTAGCATTATTTTTATCTTATAAAGTAATGTTAAATCATATTTGGTACATTCATTAATATTATTTTCCCGAACAAGCCGATAAGACAGAACCTAGTTTTTTTTGTTTTTGTTTTTTTCTTGTAGTACCTGAGCGGCACACAAACTACTATAAACTGGAATTCTATAAGCAAGTGCCCTCCCAAAATAAATTCTATAAGCAAGCATCCAGTAAATCTTTTCTTTTCTCTTGAAGCTCAAATTCGAAATATTCTTGAAACAAGAAGGAAAAAGAAAAAAAAAAAAGATGGCTTATTTGTGTCGTATCTACTGAGTAATAAATATGACTAAATGAAGTCCTGATATTCCGGGTGTGAATTAAAGAAACTTGTACCAATTATATATTCGTCTTGTAACACTTTTACTGACCAAAACGGCCAAACTGGTTGGGGTAGCCAGCACTTGCGCGTGCAGTAATTGCAGCATTCTTCAATGTATTTTATCTCAGCACGATATAATATCAATCCTATGCAGTGCTTGGTAAAGCATACATAGTAGCATGGCCAACCACGCAAAAAGTCTTCATGAATTGAAGTAGGAGAGAGAGAATGAGTAGGAGGAGGAGAGAGAGGGAGATGGAGAGGGATTTGGTGCTATAAGTTCATTAGACTCCACCAGAACGAGCAGAAGCATCATGAAATTGAGCTTCATCAGTCCTTTTACCTTTAATGTGGGATTCTCTCATTTCTCCTATATATATATATCTATGCAGTGCTTGGTAAAGCATACATAGTAGCATGGCCAACCACGCAAAAAGTCTTCATGAATTGAAGTAGGAGAGAGAGAATGAGTAGGAGGAGGAGAGAGAGGGAGATGGGGAGGGATTTGGTGCTATAAGTTCATTGGACTCCACCAGAACGAGCAGAAGCATCATAAAATTGAGATCCATCAGTCCTTTTACCTTTAATGTGGGATTCTCTCATTTCTCCTATATATATATATCTATGCAGTGCTTGGTAAAGCATACATAGTAGCATGGCCAACCACGCAAAAAGTCTTCATGAATTGAAGTAGGAGAGAGAGAATGAGTAGGAGGAGGAGAGAGAGGGAGATGGGGAGGGATTTGGTGCTATAAGTTCATTGGACTCCACCAGAACGAGCAGAAGCATCATGAAATTGAGCTCCATCAGTCTTTTTACCTTTAATGTGGGATTCTCTCATTTCTCCTATATATATATATCTATGCAGTGCTTGGTAAAGCATACATAGTAGCATGGCCAACCACGCAAAAAGTCTTCATGAATTGAAGTAGGAGAGAGAGAATGAGTAGGAGGAGGAGAGAGGGAGATGGGGAGGGATTTGGTGCTATAAGTTCACTAGACTCCACCAGAACGAGCAGAAGCATCATGAAATTGAGCTCCATCAGTCTTTTTACCTTTAATGTGGGATTCTCTCATTTCTCCTATATATATATATATCTATGCAGTGCTTGGTAAAGCATACATAGTAGCATGGCCAACCACGCAAAAAGTCTTCATGAATTGAAGTAGGAGAGAGAGAATGAGTAGGAGGAGGAGAGAGAGGGAGATGGGGAGGGATTTGGTGCTATAAGTTCATTGGACTCCACCAGAACGAGCAGAAGCATCATGAAATTGAGCTCCATCAGTCTTTTTACCTTTAATGTGGGATTCTCTCATTTCTCCTATATATATATATCTATGCAGTGCTTGGTAAAGCATACATAGTAGCATGGCCAACCACGCAAAAAGTCTTCATGAATTGAAGTAGGAGAGAGAGAATGAGTAGGAGGAGGAGAGAGAGGGAGATGGGGAGGGATTTGGTGCTATAAGTTCATTGGACTCCACCAGAACGAGCAGAAGCATCATGAAATTGAGCTCCATCAGTCTTTTTACCTTTAATGTGGGATTCTCTCATTTCTCCTATATATATATATCTATGCAGTGCTTGGTAAAGCATACATAGTAGCATGGCCAACCACGCAAAAAGTCTTCATGAATTGAAGTAGGAGAGAGAGAATGAGTAGGAGGAGGAGAGAGAGGGAGATGGGGAGGGATTTGGTGCTATAAGTTCATTGGACTCCACCAGAACGAGCAGAAGCATCATGAAATTGAGCTCCATCAGTCCTTTTACCTTTAATGTGGGATTCTCTCATTTCTCCTATATATATATATCTATGCAGTGCTTGGTAAAGCATACATAGTAGCATGGCCAACCACGCAAAAAGTCTTCATGAATTGAAGTAGGAGAGAGAGAATGAGTAGGAGGAGGAGAGAGAGGGAGATGGGGAGGGATTTGGTGCTATAAGTTCATTGGACTCCACCAGAACGAGCAGAAGCATCATGAAATTGAGCTCCATCAGTCTTTTTACCTTTAATGTGGGATTCTCTCATTTCTCCTATATATATATATCTATGCAGTGCTTGGTAAAGCATACATAGTAGCATGGCCAACCACGCAAAAAGTCTTCATGAATTGAAGTAGGAGAGAGAGAATGAGTAGGAGGAGGAGAGAGAGGGAGATGGGGAGGGATTTGGTGCTATAAGTTCATTGGACTCCACCAGAACGAGCAGAAGCATCATGAAATTGAGCTCCATCAGTCTTTTTACCTTTAATGTGGGATTCTCTCATTTCTCCTATATATATATATCTATGCAGTGCTTGGTAAAGCATACATAGTAGCATGGCCAACCACGCAAAAAGTCTTCATGAATTGAAGTAGGAGAGAGAGAATGAGTAGGAGGAGGAGAGAGAGGGAGATGGGGAGGGATTTGGTGCTATAAGTTCATTGGACTCCACCAGAACGAGCAGAAGCATCATGAAATTGAGCTCCATCAGTCTTTTTACCTTTAATGTGGGATTCTCTCATTTCTCCTATATATATATATCTATGCAGTGCTTGGTAAAGCATACATAGTAGCATGGCCAACCACGCAAAAAGTCTTCATGAATTGAAGTAGGAGAGAGAGAATGAGTAGGAGGAGGAGAGAGAGGGAGATGGGGAGGGATTTGGTGCTATAAGTTCATTGGACTCCACCAGAACGAGCAGAAGCATCATGAAATTGAGCTCCATCAGTCTTTTTACCTTTAATGTGGGATTCTCTCATTTCTCCTATATATATATATCTATGCAGTGCTTGGTAAAGCATACATAGTAGCATGGCCAACCACGCAAAAAGTCTTCATGAATTGAAGTAGGAGAGAGAGAATGAGTAGGAGGAGGAGAGAGAGGGAGATGGGGAGGGATTTGGTGCTATAAGTTCATTGGACTCCACCAGAACGAGCAGAAGCATCATGAAATTGAGCTCCATCAGTCCTTTTACCTTTAATGTGGGATTCTCTCATTTCTCCTATATATATATATCTATGCAGTGCTTGGTAAAGCATACATAGTAGCATGGCCAACCACGCAAAAAGTCTTCATGAATTGAAGTAGGAGAGAGAGAATGAGTAGGAGGAGGAGAGAGAGGGAGATGGGGAGGGATTTGGTGCTATAAGTTCATTGGACTCCACCAGAACGAGCAGAAGCATCATAAAATTGAGATCCATCAGTCCTTTTACCTTTAATGTGGGATTCTCTCATTTCTATATATAATATATATCTATGCAGTGCTTGGTAAAGCATACATAGTAGCATGGCCAACCACGCAAAAAGTCTTCATGAAGTAGGAGAGGAGAGAGAGAATGAGTAGGAGGAGGAGAGAGAGGGAGATGGGGAGGGATTTGGTGCTATAAGTTCATTGGACTCCACCAGAACGAGCAGAAGCATCATGAAATTGAGCTCCATCAGTCTTTTTACCTTTAATGTGGGATTCTCTCATTTCTCCTATATATATATATCTATGCAGTGCTTGGTAAAGCATACATAGTAGCATGGCCAACCACGCAAAAAGTCTTCATGAATTGAAGTAGGAGAGAGAGAATGAGTAGGAGGAGGAGAGAGAGGGAGATGGGGAGGGATTTGGTGCTATAAGTTCATTGGACTCCACCAGAACGAGCAGAAGCATCATGAAATTGAGCTCCATCAGTCTTTTTACCTTTAATGTGGGATTCTCTCATTTCTCCTATATATATATATCTATGCAGTGCTTGGTAAAGCATACATAGTAGCATGGCCAACCACGCAAAAAGTCTTCATGAATTGAAGTAGGAGAGAGAGAATGAGTAGGAGGAGGAGAGAGAGGGAGATGGGGAGGGATTTGGTGCTATAAGTTCATTGGACTCCACCAGAACGAGCAGAAGCATCATGAAATTGAGCTCCATCAGTCCTTTTACCTTTAATGTGGGATTCTCTCATTTCTCCTATACATATATATCTATGCAGTGCTTGGTAAAACATACATAGTAGCATGGCCAACCACGCAAAAAGTCTTCATGAATTGAAGTAGGAGAGAGAGAATGAGTAGGAGGAGGAGAGAGGGAGATGGGGAGGGATTTGGTGCTATAAGTTCACTAGACTCCACCAGAACGAGCAGAAGCATCATGAAATTGAGCTTCATCAGTCCTTTTACCTTTAATGTGGGATTCTCTCATTTCTCCTATATATATATATATCTATGCAGTGCTTGGTAAAGCATACATAGTAGCATGGCCAACCACGCAAAAAGTCTTCATGAATTGAAGTAGGAGAGAGAGAATGAGTAGGAGGAGGAGAGAGAGGGAGATGGAGAGGGATTTGGTGCTATAAGTTCATTAGACTCCACCAGAACGAGCAGAAGCATCATGAAATTGAGCTTCATCAGTCCTTTTACCTTTAATGTGGGATTCTCTCATTTCTCCTATATATATATATCTATGCAGTGCTTGGTAAAGCATACATAGTAGCATGGCCAACCACGCAAAAAGTCTTCATGAATTGAAGTAGGAGAGAGAGAATGAGTAGGAGGAGGAGAGAGAGGGAGATGGGGAGGGATTTGGTGCTATAAGTTCATTGGACTCCACCAGAACGAGCAGAAGCATCATGAAATTGAGCTCCATCAGTCTTTTTACCTTTAATGTGGGATTCTCTCATTTCTCCTATATATATATATATATATATATAATATATTTGCTCTGCAAAAGACATGTCAAAATATTCACAATTTCACATATCCATAAATTATCTCGTAGAGTTTTACACGAGCCACCTTGTCCATTAAGCCTTGGGATAAATCAACCCTTAATAAAATATTTATATTGGATAGTGCTTGAAATATCGTTGTTAATATATAGTATTTTTCTTAGTACTCAATCGAAACATATGGCTTGTACAGCTCACTTAGATATACCTCATTGATTAATTTTTTTGGTGAATAAAATATGTTCTTAAGAAACTTATGTTGTTTCTTAATAATAAATAGCTCCACTGTTTTTATTTTTTATTTTTTTTATAAATATGGATATTTTGTGAAATGTTCAACATTTGCCCTCACATTAATCTAACTGTTTTTGTTGTAATTGTTTTCTTATTTTTCTTTCTCTGTATTTTCCTCTTTTCCGCTCTTGCCAGCATGCCACTTGTTCCTAATATCCACTCATTTCTCTAACTGTAACTAACCCTAGTATTTTTTTTTCTTTTGTTTTTTACACTCCTAACATTTTTATTTATTTATTTTTTTTTTTTTTTTGAGAATAGAGTACTTTGATTGTACATAGAAAAAAAAAAAATTTTAGGATATCGCAGTACTGCACTGTGCTCTTCTTTTTCTTTCTAAGAGAAAATATATGATAAAATATGAAAGGCAATACAAATACTAATCTACACAAATGATACAACCTCCTACTACAAGAAACACAATGCCAACAAATAACCAATTCTCTCGATAAATTTAAATGCCATAATTGGTAAACACCCAAAAAGGGTAGACCAAATACGTACATGACTCCTTAACAGATCCTTTATAATCGATTAAAAAATCGAATCAATTGATGTTGAGAAACACAGAACGAAAACTAAGAAACAAATAAGGGACGAAAAATACAACTAAAAAAGATAAATATGTAAACTAATCATGGTAAGAGCTACCCTAATTACAGAGGAATGAGAAAAAACAAAAAACAAAACAAAAGCAAGGACATCAAGGAGAGCGGGACCCTTCAACCCTAGTGGAAGAAAATGGCTGAAAAGGCGAGCGATTGGTAAACACCTATAGTCAGTAGCGGTAAAGACTGATGTGCGCACCTTTATTTTATCTCACTCACTCTATTCTTTAGGGTCGATGTCTTTCCTTTTTTTTTTTTTGTGGAGAGAGTGATTTAAAGAAAAAAAAATGAAAGTAGATACAAGAGAGAAAGAAGCCTACTAATTAAAATGAAACTCAACTAACTACCTAATTCTAGAAATAAAGAAAAATACCAATGAAAGAATATCCATGCCCGGAGGCTTACTGTCAATTAAAAAATCAATAAAAACACTGAAGAATGATAGATGCACACTTTTAAGGGTGCATAAATTTGATTTTTGAGGAGATAAAAACGTTTTTAAATCCTACTTACTGAAATCAAATAATAATTTTTAGATTAGTGACAAAATTAATCAATTTAAAAGGAATATATCGCCTTCTCACAAATTGATCAAAAAGTCAGCGATGAGTGCCACAGGCTCCTTTTTTATTTTGATTTTGATTGTTGTTATGCGCCCAATAGTCAGATACATAGATGGAGGCTTGTGTCATGCTTATTCTCAAACAGAGCCGTACTCACAAATGCATGCCATTGTTTTTTATCGATGTTTCTAAGCTACTTGATATGATGAAAATGAGTTCTCAATCTTTGATTGATAAAATACAATTTCTTTAATAACAATATTGCCTCAATTACTTTAACAAACTTTACCACATCCCCTCCATTGAGATCTGGCGTTCCCTGTTCGCCGGCAAGCCGCTCATTGCCTTCTGCCGGTCAGACGGAGACAGAAACAGCGGTGACTATGGTGCCATGGCCATTGGATAGACCAATAATGAGATTTATTTATTTATCCATTGTTTTCTCATAAAGAAGAAACAAAAGTTCAGTTAAAAAAGATTTACGAAATTGTGTTTCCAGGTGACATGGTCCTATTGCGGGGCAATATCTGATGGAGGCACTTGAGTGTGGGATTCACTGATCAAATAGTACTGCTCTATTAGAAAATGACAAGGGATAATCTTTTTTTTTTTTTTTTTTTTGATAATTTAATCTTCACATTTGTAAACCAAAGAGTGGATTCCCACTTTCAAATTAACAAAGGGGAAATTTTTGTTATTACCCCTGTCAAAAATACGTTTTTATATGTCTATGGCACTTCATTAAATTTTTCAAAATAGAAAGAATTATAACCATAAAACAAATGTCGTTAAAAAAATATATATATTGCAGAAAGAAAATGTGGGATATTGAACTACATGAACCGAGGAGATCATCTTTTCAACAGGTTGTACGCTGGCAAGTCTTTCACATTGGAAACATCTTCAAGCGCAAGCTCACGCTCTAACTGAGTTCTTGTAGACTTCAGAACATCCTAAAATTTTACCCCAAAAAAAAAAAAAAAAGGTTAAATCACAGAGTTATGAGTAAGAAATAAAGAACAGAATCAAACAAATCTACATTGAATTCCATATATGAAGCACGCTTTGCAAGCCACTGAGCATCCATCATTTGAAAGGCTACACAATAAAGGTTATCAAACGCCATTTCATCTTCTTGAAGCAGTTCCAGAAAACGGATTCCCGCCAAAGACGACGGCACTCCTGCCAAGAGATTTACAATGAATTAAGCATTATCATTGAGGCAAATCTTATCTGGCCGATTTGCACATTGATCAGTCTGTTTAGAGGCAGAAGCATCAATGCTGTTAACAACAGAACATTGTATCATAGATCGACTGAAAATTTATTTTACCTGATTGGAGATCTAACATCTGTGCCAACATAAAGGATATATTGATTCCAGCAACAGCAAAAGGATATTCCCACTCAGCTCTGTTTCCATCCTGTTTGTGCAACAATCTCTGGAATGATTCCTGTCAAGTGGAGGACAAATTAAGAACCATTATGAAAATATTCATATAAATGTACACACACACACACACACACACACACACATATATAGCATACATAGACTACATCCAATTAAAATGGTCCACCCAGAAAATAGTCTTGTGCAGTTGTGCTCAAGAGGAGATACAATTCAATCCAATCCAATGGGATTTAAAGACAGGCTGTCCTCGCTGCAATTCCCAACTTTGTCAAGAGCTTTCATTGCCTTGTCAAACCAAAATTACTTGGCTTTCTACAATAACCTAAATATTGGGCATAGCCTAAATTATGGTAAATAATAATAATAATAATAATAATAGCCTAAATTAGAACCTAAACTTATAAATTCCTGTTGGACAATGTGTCAGTTAAATTGTTCTTTGACGTCGGACAATTGTAGGAATGATAAGACTTACATCACGATATCTTTTTTAATTGTTCTTTGATGTTCGACAACGTGTCCCAATTATTTTTTCATTCAAAAAATGTTCTTTGGTGTGCAGTTCAACTGTTTATTTAATGTAATTTTTGCTCATTACAAACGGAAAATCGATCTACATTTAAAGCACCGAGTCATGAATTTAAGGAGAAAGAAAAAAGTACACTCAAGGCTGTGGGATTTTTTTTTCCCCCTCAAAGGATGGGTTTACATATGCTACACTGAAGAAGAGGTGACATATATATCTCGAATGACAAGTAGAAACAAAGATTATGAAAATCATATACTACTAAAAAAAAAAAAATGAAAATCATATAGATATTAGATTTTTCACAGATCTCAGGTTAAATGAAACAAGTGACTAATGAATTTCTTATCAGGAATAAAAGAAAATAGCAAACAGCATTGCTCTAAAGATTATTAAAACAAAAAAAACAACAAAAAAAAAAGAGAGAGAAATGATGTAAAAAAAAAAAACAGCATTGCTCTAAAGATTATTAAAAAAAAAAAAAAAAAGAGAAAAAAAAATCATACCGGATACTTCTGAGCAAAAAAGATAAGATTCTCCAATGATATGAATCCCCCACCCCTATAATGAAATTTAAGATAGTATTCAAAGAAGAAATCTCAGCAGAAAGCTAATCAACTCCAAAGCAGAACAGGAGATTCTATGAACTACATACCTAAAATCTGTTGAGGGATCTGTTCCCTGCCAACCCATCTCCTTCCAAAGCACCGACTTAAGAGACGGGAGCTCCCTATCAGGATATGCCAACCTCCACAATTGCTTCAGTGCACCCTGCATCCCACATTTAATCTATTCATTTCATTGACTGTAAAATGAATTAGAAAAAAAGGCATATTTATTCTACAATGCATGATCACTCCAACAGCAACAAATAAACTCCTGCCTTAGCTTTTCTCCTTCCTTTGCACATTTTGGTCACTTACGACTTCATTAAATAAAATCATGACCCACTTTTACAAGGAAATTACATAACTACTTTTCTATTTCAAATACTTTATCCCTGTTAACATGCACCATACAAACAGCATTCCAATCAGGTAAAGAATGGTTTCTATCATCTAATTCAATTTTGATGACCAGGTAATTAGTAATCAATAATGAAGCTTCAAGGTGTCATTCTGTACATCTCAGATATGACACAGACCAATCATCTCTCTCTCTCTCTCTCTCTCTCTCTCTCTCACGCACTCACAGGCACACGAACACACAATACATCAACAAATTTGGAAAAAAAACAAAGACAAACAGACACACACACACACACACGCGTGCAAACGCACAATACATCAACAAACTGGGAGAAAAAGAAAAAAACCCCAACAAGCACACACACACATGCGCTATATGTATGAACGTAATGGAACAATTCCAACGAGAAATGTTCCGAGGCCATTGAATGGATGAAAATTACCAACGCCTCTGCTTGCAAATGCTATACAACAGTTTACTTTAGAAATGGAAAGATTAAAACTGGGAAGAAACCTACTTGATGCTCCAGACAAGAACCATCAAAGGGGACTTCAAGCCTCTGCCGTATATTTCTGAGTCTTTCTTCCTAGAGACACAAATTGCAGTTTGAATAAAATTAGCAAGGTATCTACTTCTTAACAATTTATAGTGTAAGAAAAATAGATCAGGTAAACATTTAGAAAAGATGGACCCTTGAAAAGGGCCACGAGGAATAACCACTTCCAACAACAAAGTTATCAAGAACACGCTTTCAATTATCAGAAAAAGAAAAACTAGAAGATGCACTGCAGAATGATCAGAATAAATGAAAAAGGGGAAAATAAAAATAAAAAGGATTAATTTCACTAGTGCCCCCTGAACTTTGGGGTCATTCCCACTTTGCCCCTTAAACTATAAAAACTCTCACTTTGCCCCTTGACCTGTGAATTTGTCCCATTTAAGCCCTTCTATAAGAAAATCTGTTAAAATCATACGGAAATGGAGGGGGCTAAGTGTGGCCATGTGGTTATTATCTGTTTGTTTTTAATACAAATTCAAACAGAAAGACCACGTGACTGCATTGCTCTTTTTTTTTTTTTTTCTTTCTATCTGTTCTTAACAGAAAGTACAACAGGAGTTGAGTGGGAACAAATTTAAAGTTCAGGAGGCAAAGTGAGAGTTCTAAAGTTCGGTGGGCAAACTGAGAATTACCCTAAAGTTCAGGGGGCACCAGTGATAACAATCCAAATAAAAATAATATCTCTTAAAAGCAATAGGAAAACAAACATACCAAAAAACAAAAACAAAAAGAGCTTTTAAATACAATTCAACACAGAAGGATTCAATTTGCTTTATTAACAATTATAGGGCCTATTACGAGCTTTCTATTAGATTATCACTCTGAAGAGATCTATGTATTTGATATTAATAACTAAATTGAAGAAAGATAAGACGGCAGAAGCCTACAATTCCGATAGGAGCATCAAAACAGAGCGCCAAATAATAATAGTAATAAAACATCATAGACAAGAATCAATTTTGTAAGTAATTAAAAAGAAATAAAAGTTCAAGCATGTAAGGAGGGGAGGGGGGGAAGAATAGAGAATAGTATGACACAAGAGGGTAACCTGTAAAGGACTAAGGGAAGGTCTAAGTAACTTATTGCCTTCTCTATTCTGTGTAGCAGAAGGAAGGGTCAAAAGCCACCCAACAACAGATGCAGGTCCAATTACGATATTCGCTGCAAAGACCAAAAACTAAAACTTCTATCAAAGAAAAAAGAAAAAAGAAGGAAAGCATCTCACGTAAATATCCAGACAGACAATAGAAGCCATCCACCAACACTATACTATAAACATATCAAAAGTATGTTAGTTTCGTGCTACTTTTCTCTATCTTTCACTATTTGTCGATTTTATTTTTAATCAGAACCTGCCCAGTTATGATCAACATCCTATTCACAAAACTTCTACTAAGCCTTTTCCAAACCACAAACAGCGAGGGGACAAAAAAAAAAAAAAATCGCATACCATTTCAAGTAAGAAACCATACTAACTGCATTACATACATACCAAGCCACTGAGCCCATTGTGCAATCAACTGGGAAAATACTAAGGTCCAATGGCGGTGTTCTTTCCTCCGTTCATCATCCAAGAGATCTTCAAGCTGAGAACCATGGAATACAACATCATCAAAATACACAAGGCATCACAAATTTGCTTAATCAAGTTCCCATCGTCATTGAATCATTAGACCGCAGAAAATCAAAAGCAGCCTCACCTCTGAATGCCTATCGTCGTGCCTGTAATTCCCAAGTAGAGGTTCATTCAATCCATCCAAATCTGATGTTTCTAAATGCTCTTGCCTCTTTCCATCAACATCAGCATGATGAAGCCTTCTTCTCAAAGTTCTTGATGTCATCACTAAGTTTGTTATAATGCCTGAAAACAAGTTAAATCGTTTACGATGACGACCCATGAAATGTCAAGAGCATCACAATAATCCTTTAGTAGCATTATCAACTATACCGAAGCGAAACCTACGGAATATCTATCCACATTACAAGCTAAGCAATTTTGGACTAGAAATGTTGATACCTTTTTCCCATATTAATCTACATATTAACCATTCTTAACCTTTTCCTTTCACGAACACATTCTGAACACCAAGATCAATTTCTCGATCAGTACGAATTATGACGCTGAAACGACAATTAGACGCCATAATCTTTCTGGGATTGAGTTAATACAATAGGATGCCAAATTAGAAGCGCCATCAGAGAATACAAGTTAATTTCTAATCCTTGACAACTTAATAACTTTCAGACCTAAAACATACAAATTTTGCTTTTTATGTAGAAACATTGAAATGTAAACAAGCACACATAGACATAGAATTGGCCCATCAATTTAACATCATAATAACCAAAGATTCCAATTCAGGAAGGGTAAAAAAAAAAAAAGATTCTAACGAGAGAAAAAAAGAATTGAAGAATTTCAAATTTCAAATCCAAATTCGAACACAAACGGAAAACAAAATAATCTCCTATAATGCAAAAGCCCCAAAAGAAAATAAAAAACCCCACAATCGAATTATGAAGATTACAGACATTAAACCCTAAAAGCCAAAAGAATCGGGATTCATTTCAGATCCATAAGAAGAGGAAAAAAAACCTGTACGAGTTATTTTTTTTCCCTTATTGCTTTCAATTTAGACTAAAAGCGGAAAAAAAATAATCAGGAAGAACAAAAATAAATGATGATTACGACGTAGAAAGAAAAGATCGTAAGTCGTTTACCTGAGACAAGAGAACAATAAAGCCCTAAAAGAGATACTTGGAATTCAGTTTCAGGTGATCACTTCCCTTCTATATAAGCTATTTTTCCTTACTCATTAAGCAAAATTAAAAATATATTTATGCTTTTATTATTCTGTATATTATGGAAATTCCAATTCCTCTGTTTCTTTCTTCTTTGGTTGACTGTTGATCGCTGATTGATGAACGTGTTCTGAAAGGAATAGCACTTTCTTTCTTCTCTGAGGGAACTTTTTTTTTTCTTTGTTCTTTTACTATTCCGAAATTAAGTTTAAATCTATACCCCATTTAATTTATGTGTTTAAAATTATAATTTAAAGTTATTTTTAATTTATGTATAATAAATTACAAATTATAATTTAAATTATGACATAAATTCACTAACTAAATACACCAATTCCAATCTTGGCATGAATGTATTCGTTATGATCCTGTTGTTGTCATAAATGAGAACTCATTTACATAATAATGAGAACTCTACTATGAATAATCAACACTACTAATAAGTTATATTTTACAACTATATGTGTATGTAAATGGTAAAGGCACTTTGATACCTCTTTACTAAGAAGTAGGTTTTTTTTTCTTTTTAAAAAAAAAATTTTGAATACATATAAGATGATAGGTATTTTTGCCCTAACGATACCTTTTGAATTGATAATTACTGGTGAATGGTGAAAAACGAGAGTATATATATTATTAAAATAAAGGATATTTGCGTCGTTGGTCTTCAAATGTTTTAGAGGACGTTTGGTTTATGTATTCAGCATCATGATTTAAAATCATTCTCTTTTACGTGTATTTTTTTGTGAGAAAAAACACTGTAGAAAATTATGAATCATGATTCAGAATCAGAGACGAATATAGGAAACAAACGTCCCCTTAATCATTGACGTTTGATTCCCTATTTTGAGAACTTGGACACTCAGGTCCCCAAGCTCTTAATCTTGGCACCTGTTAGTGTCCATTTTAATAATTTGAACACTCAGATCCTCAAATTCTTAATTTGTTGACACCATTAGTCTCCATTTTAAAAATTTAAACACTTAGGTCCTCGTACTCTTAGGTCTCGTTCATTTCACCGATTTGAGTTTTCAATTTTAAGTTTTTACAGTAAAAAACTCTCAGAAAATGTCACATCTCAACTCGAATTTGCAAAGTGAACGATGCCTTAATCTATTAATATCCTCAGTCCCTATTTTTTTTTTTTTGGAGTTAATTAACATGATATTATAAGACTTTTTGTCCAAAAGTAATGTTAAAAATGACAACAAATTGATAATAAACGAAGAAAGAAAACAAGAAATTCATAAATATCATTGAGAAAATTGACCATCTTTTCTATTATATTTTGGATAAGTTTCTTCTTCAAAACTACACAGATGTAACCAAATAACAATAATGTAATAATCAGTTGTCCAATTACATACTGTCAAATTACATACCTTTAATTATCCTTTATAATATTAAAGATTATAAGAAAATTAAAGTATGTAAATGGATAATTAATTGTTGTGTTGCTGTTATTTAATTACATCATTATAATTTAGAACCAATTTATCCAAAATACAATTGAACAAATGATCAATTTCCTCAACGATATTTATAAAATTCTTGTTTTTTCCTCTTATAATCGATATTTTGTTGTCAATAATTCTCATAATTAATTTTATTCTAAGTCATTTTAATGTTATTTTTTAAGAACTTGAATGTTCAAATTCTTAAATTGGGGATCTAAATGCCAAAGATTAAAAAATTTAAGACCCGTAACGCAAATATCCTTTAAAATAATGTACCACGTTAGTTTCTTATTTTTGCTAATTTTTAATGGGTTCCTAACACATTTTTGATCTTGCAATTTTGATATAATGGTTTTTGTTAACATGCTCTACCGATAGGGTAAAAATACCATGTCTTACCATTTTTATGCAAATCATTTTCCCTTCTCTCACCATAAGAACTCCTTTTTTTATGCAAATCATTTTCTTTTCCCTTCTCTCTCTTTCCTTTTTTTTTATGCAAATCATTTTCCCTTGAGAACTCCTTTTTTTATCCAAATCATTTTCCCTTCCCTTCTCTCTCTCTCCCTCATCATTTTCCTTTCCAATTCAAGTTATTTCTTCCTTTTAAAGTTTAGAAGAATAGGAGGAGGAGGAAGAAGAAAGGAAATGGAGCTTGGTTTTCGACAACTATAGGCGAAACTTATCTAGTTTTTAGTTAATTCAATATTTTTATTTTCACTGGTGTCTCTCCCTTTTAGGGATGTGAACTATGAGAATCTATCATCAAACTTTTTTACTTTAAAATGTAATGTGGGTTATGTCATAACTCGTTCTTATAATTTTATTTTAAAAAAGAGTGATTTCTGCTTTTTGAAGTTTCAATTTAAGATTTTTGAGATAAAAAATAGATCCTAAAGATGTTATATAGTGTAAGGATAGTAATTTAAATCAAAATATATTAACATAACACAAACATGACATGAAGTTAGAGGGTTTAAATTTATTATAAATGAGTTTGAGTCAAAACGGGTAGAACACGGCTAACACGATTAACAAACGTGTAAGTGTTTGGGTCAAACCATTAACATGAATTGACACGCAACAACACAATTAAGTTTATATGTTATTTAAAACTTAATTATATGTAATATAATTTTTTAGTTTATATGATTGATTTAACACACAACATGAATTTTAAGATTTATAAGTAACTTTCACTAGTAATTTGAACAAATAAACTTGTTAAATGGGCTAGTGTTATAATCATGTTAAATAAATTAATACAATTATGTATTCAACATATTACTTTAAATGAGTTATACAGGTTGACACGATTAATAAATAAATTGTGTATGGATTAATATGTACTGATATATTAATAAATAGGTCATATTTGTGTTGATATTTTCTGATAAGATTACTAAACGGATTGACAACAAGGTGGCCTATATTAACACAAGTTGTCACCCATTGCTGTGATCCCTATTTTTGAGGTGACTCTTCTTTTTTTTTTTTCTTCTTCTTTTTGCTAAAACTACTTTTAGTCCCCAAGTTCAAAACAAAAACAAAAACAAAAACAAAATCAAAATCAAAATCAAAACAAAAACAAAAACCGTACTACTTTTAGGTAGTTGAGTCTAATTGCCACACTTAAATGGAATAGAATTTTTTTTTGTATTCTCTGGTTTTTTGCTCAAATTCAACAGCCAAGTTGGTTGAGTTTAATAAAGTTTGCGTATGTCTTGGTTATGAAAAATCATCTTGCAATAAAAACGCTATATAAGTATCAATTTTTTAAATGTAAAATGTTATTTCATAACATGGAAAGGAACTCCAAACATTAATCTATATACACAGCCTCTACTATAGGAAACTTCTCCGCTGGACGCCACAAATGGAAATAATCCATGAAAGGTACACTACAATTTACATATAACTCTTTAACAGATTCTCTAGAGTTAGAGAGAAAAATCCGATCAACCGAGATTGAGAAACTCATAGCATGAAGACTACACAAAAATTGCAAGGAAACATATCTTGCAGTCAAAACAAACAACCAAACACTAAACAAACAGAGGAATTAAACTAATCGGGGTAAAAATCACACCCGTTATTATGAACGAAAGATGAAAATATCCACGAGTGTGAACATCAAAACACCAACGAGAGCAAGACCCCTCATCACTAGTGAAACAAAGTAGAAAAAAAAAAAGATGAATGGTTGATAACATGTAGGCGGTAGCGACAAAGGACAACCTATGCACCACAATATATGACTTGGCTCCTCTCCCAAACCAAAACCTCCAAGTGTGGCGTCCAAAAACACCACCAAGGCGTTCAAAAACGCCTTGAAGCCAATGACGGCCCCTCCATATATCTTAGATGTAAAAACTTAAAACAAAAAATTAAAAAAACATAGGAGCGACTAGGAGCTGTCTCCGAGACCTTCCAAAATCCAATTCTCCACTTAAATTGAAATTCTAGATTTAGATTGAGAGATGACCGACAAATAACGACGGTCCAGGAATACTAAATACTTGGGTTTTTAACTTTTTATATTGAAAATTTACTTGCAACATCATTATTGCACATAGGAACAACAACATTTTCTTACTAGTAGTTGAATTTCAACCGTCAGATGGTTATGAAGACATAAAAGTGCCCTACTTGCAAAGTGAAGTCCACAAATCCCCTGAAGCTTGCCTCCAAGAATATAGATGGGAGGAATTATTTTCTGAACATTAGCATAAATTTGGAAGAAAGCTTCCTAAGTCAGCTGATAAGACCAGCATATGCAACAATTCTAAACCTCACATCAGTATGCCCACCAGTCATTCTGTGCAGAATGCAACGGTAATGTAGACTAAGCATAGTGCATTCCAAAGACGCTTAAAACATTTAAAATTAAAATACAGCTGCCAAGTAACTTCTTTACCGATGGGGAGAGATTTTCTAGTCACAATGTCCTACTAATTTACAAAAAGACAATGTGCTTACAATCCCTCCCACGGAGTACTCACCGCCAAGGTGGTAACCATCTTTGCTGGCGCTCTGACCCACATCAAATAGCCATAGGTGTTGGGGCAGATTTTCGCGCAGCGATTTTTCTTATGCAGAACTCACTGCCGATGAACTGGTGGTGTTGCCGGCTGGTGGTTTTGCCCGTAGAATCCTATCCCTGGCGGTCTGTAAAATCCTCCATTGGCAGGTTGTAGTTGTGGCTGTTGTTGCTGCTGTGGTGAAAGCTGAAGCTGCGACTGCTGTTGCTGCTGATGATTGGGTCTCGCCAATCCCATTGCAAAATGTGGTGGCAGTAGGGGTGGGGGAGGACGAGTATTTGATCCATAACCGAAAGGCATTACACCTGCCATAAGACCGGGGGATTGAACATACTGATTTGATGGAGTTGTTGGAGATTGAAGGGGCGGGGGAGGTGGCGGCAGAGGCTGGGCAAAAGTAGATTGCATCTGACTTCCTTGAGGCATTGATTGCAATCCTGTTAATGGTGCAAGTGCTACAGTGGATATCGATTGCTGTGATAAAGTAAAATAACCTGCACTGCCAACATCGGAATTGCCGACGTCAGATGAAGGCATTGACTTCTCAAGCTTCTGTCGTTTTTCTGGAGAGAACATGGGTAACCCCGATGTTAACCCAGCTGATGTCAAACCGCCATTCATGGAAGCAGCTTCTTCAGCAACAAGGGATGACAGCACAGAGGTTAGCATCTGTGCAGAAGACGTAGAGGCAGCAAGCCTAGCAGCAACAGCAGCTGCTGCTGCTTTTTTGCTCTCTTCATCAGTAGTTTTTACAGGTGCAAAAGAAGCCACTGGCTGCGCAAGAGCCTGAGACTGGGTACTGCTTGGTGGAACCACAGGCTGATTCTGCTCAACGGCCTTTGTAGTTTCTGTTGTTGGGTTAATTGCGTTGCTTGCACTAGGAGCAGGAGACAATGTAAATCTCTTTCTGACATTACTTGCTTGTTCAATGTAGAGCCGAGCAACCTGAACAGAAAAAATTTCACCATCGTTCCAGCCCATTAGAAGCTAAATATGCACTTCGGCACCAAGGATAAACACACACAGAAATTTTAAACACAAAATTACTATATTCCATTCATGTAGGTTAGCCTTTTTCTATCCTCCAGCACAATTATTTCAAAAAGGAACCATATTTGTTTTGGTGAGAGCCAACAAAAGTATGAAAGTCACAAATCACCAATGTAGAAATTACACTTCACATTCTCAGAATGAAGGAGCAGACCGCGGGCCTAACAACTCAACTAACCCCTAAAGGTTAAACCATCTTCTTCTAATACCAATTCAAGAAACTCAGGCTACCTTGAGCTTTTCAAGAGGACTCCAGTCATAAATTTAACTCTAAGTGCCTACTCTGCTCATGAAAATAGCTAAACCTTTAATTTAATGGTCGTCTTATTCTTACAGTCTTTTACAGTTGCCCCAACACCCGCAGGGCCATAACATCAAAGACTTCCCCAGCTACAACGGTTACAGATATCTGACTTGAGTCTAAAACATTCATCCAAAAGTAAAGTATCTGATGACTATAAGAAAAACAATCCAAACGCAATTAAATATTTACAAAGGGTACTGACGGTAAAACACCAAATTGTATGCTAGGTAAAGCAAAAACAAAATAAATAATAAGAAACATAAATCAATAACTCAACAACACCCGTTTGCTGAATCTAATGAGAACTGCACATCATCCACGTTCCGAACTAAAAGTTTTAAATTATTTGAATTATAAATAAATAATAAGGAAACAACCGAAATTGGAATCTTCCTAAGCCAATGGGAAAATTAAATAAGCGATCGCTACTTCTGACTGAGGTAATAAAGACAAGATAATAGTTTCGTCCTTACTTGCAACTGTGTGCGAATGTTATCCAGCTTTAATTCCTGAAAATTTTATAATGGCTGGTGAATCAATGAAAAATTGGAAACAAACCGAAAGCACAAGAGCATTAGCAATAAATTTTATACTTGGTCTTGAAGTGCTTCTTTGAGCTGCGAAACCAATGAAAGCCTAGTTGCCTCGGCACTTTCAAGTTGCCCAATACACTGATTAAGTATGCTTTCATGTTCTTGTTGCTCATCCAGAAATCCAGATCCCAGCTGATTTCCTGATAAATACAAATAAGATCATAAATAAATAACTAAAAATAAGTGATCTTCGTATACTCTGTCTTCGTTATATGTTCAAATCATAAATTTATGCCGTTTCTCATGTAATTGATTAACCATACACAAATGTCCACTGGGTGGCACCATAAAGTAAAAATCATGCCAATGAAACAGGTATGAAAGTAAGATACCTTCTAAAGATTTTTTGTTCTATTAGGAGAAATAGAAAACATATTCATAATAGAAAAAAACTTACAAAGGAGAACAAGAAGTTAACCTAATAAGTGAGACAGCCAAAAAACAGGGGGAAATAAAAGCGCTGAGCAAATTACACAACATTCTATTGGGTCAAAAAGAACATAGAGAACAGACAACCTTTGAACTCGTCATTTGATGATGAAAATGAAACTTTTCCTTCTTTCTTTTCTTTTTTTTTTTTCTTTTTTTTTTTTCTTTTTTTTTTTTTTTTGATTGATAAGAAACGAGAAATATTATTAAAAATGAATGAGAGTACAAACATCAGACGACAAGGTGTCCTCGAAGCAAACTAGGCAATCAAGAAATACAATCTTTCCGGAAAAAAATACACAAACGCAAAAGACTACAACATCAAGACTAAGACAAAATTAAATCCTATCCCCTTGAGAGATCCGAGAATGAAAAAGCCTTGAATTCTGTGTCTTGCGAAGTCCACAGCACCACCTAGTGTTGGAACTTTGGGCCGGCGGGCCAGCCCGAGGCCCGAATTTTTCGGGCTTGGCGGGCAGGCCCAAATGCCGACCCGTCCAACTTTATTTTTCGGGCTCGGGCTCGGGCTGCCCGAAAATGGACAACTCGCCAGAGCCCGACGCCGTGATATCGCCGTCAACCGCTGTCCGTCGGAATTTTTTTAATTTTTTTCAATCAGGCCCGAACGGCCTGAATTGGCCGAAGCCTAAGCCTGACCAACGGATGTATTTTTGACCGTTGGTGCCCGACCCGACCCGAAGCTCAAAATGCCCAACCCCAACGGCTATTTTTTTTTACCGTTGCCCAATTTTCAGCCCGAGCCCACCCGAACCCGACCCTCCAAGAAAAAAAATAACTGTTGGGTCCGAATTTGGGGGAAAAAAATTAATTTTTTAACCCAGAAATTTCCCTATAAATACCCCCCATCCCCCACACATTTTCCTCACCCAAACTCTCAATCCCTCTCAATTTCTCTCAATCTCTCTCAATTGTTCCAAAAACTATCACAATATCCTAAAGCTCTCTCTCTCAAATCACTCTTATTTTTTATAATGGATTCTTTTGGTTATAGTAACTCCGCCTATGCGTTTTTATAGCCGGTCCCAAGCCCGGGTAAAGGAGGAGGGTTGCGGTAGGTTGACAACCATCGTAAAAAAAGTCACTCTCACGAATTTCACTCACATAGAATCTGTTGGGGCGTTCCCTACTTGCGACGCGCTATGCCTGGCCCCGGGTATAGTGTTAAATAGGCAAGGGGGGTCTTCGCACATTCATGGACGAGTGCGGGGGGAAAAGCGAGCCCATGCGCCATGTCGGGCCCCGGATATGGTGAAAAATATGCAAGGGGGGTCCTTGCACATTCATGGACGTGTGCAAGGGGCAGAGCTAACCCATGATAGGAAAATTTATTTAGGTAGTTAGAATGTAGGTTCTTTAACTCGTAGATCTATGGAATTAGTAGATATTATGGTAAGAAGAAGAATTAACATTTTATGCTTACAGGAAACGAAATGGACAGGAGAGAAAGCAAAGGAGATTGGAAATTTAGGACACAAGTTATGGTATACAAGTTAGGAAAGGAATCGCAATGGAGTTGGTATTCTAGTGGACAAAACTGTGAAGGATGACGTATTTGAGATTAAGCGAATAGGGGATAGAATTATTATGCTCAAATTGGTATTAGAAAAAAAGTTCATCTATGCAATTAGTCCTTACGCTCCACAAATAGGATTGGATGCAGAAACTAAAGTCAAGTTCTGGGAAGACATGAATGACTTAGTGTGTCGTATAGGCAATGAGGATAGCATTTTCATTGGAGGAGATTTCAATTGGCATGTTGGTAAGGATAGGGAAAACTTTGAAAGGATCCACAGTGGTTTTGGTTTTGGAGCTCAAAACGAAGAAGGAAAATCTATTTTGGAATTTGCGTTGGGACATGATTTTATCATAACAAGCGCATTTTTCAAATAAGAGGAACTTGAGTCAGATAGATTATTTATAAAGAACGTTCTCTATGTAAGAATTGTAAAGTAATTTGTGGAGAAGTACTAGCCACCCAACATAGGTTAGTGAACTTACATGTGAGCTAATATTAAGCTTTGCTATAGAAGGACTAAGATAAACCACCTCCCACGAACTCGTTGGTGGCATTTGAAGGGAATAAAGCAATTGGCCTTTAAAGAGAAGTTGTTAGATGAAGTTACTTGGTCATATATAGGTGATGCAAATACTATGTGCGATGCCATGGCCATCTGCATTAGAAAAGTGGCAAAGGAGGTACTAGGGGAATCTAACGGTAAAGGCCCCCCTAGGAAAGAAACCTGGTGGTAGAGTGAGGAAGTTTAAAAAGCTATTAGGACCAAGAGGGATTTATATAGAGATTTACCAAAGTATAAGGATGTTGAAACTTTTAATAAGTACAAACAAGCGAAAAAAGAAGCTAAGCGAGCAGTTGGTAAGGCTCGTTCTACTTGGATGAAGTATATAGGAAACTTGGGACTAGAAAACGAGAGAAGGATATATATAAACTAGCTAGGATAAGAGAAAGGAAGTGTCGGGACCTAAATCAAGTGAGGTGTGTTAAGGATGATACAGATCAGGTTCTGACAAAAAATAAAGACATTAGGGAAAGGTGGAGGAGTTACTTTGAGAAGCTATATAACGATGACCATGCGATAGAGTTTGACAATCTTAAGTCACAACGAGAACCTAATGTGATGTATACAAGAGGAATTAAAATTTCGGAAGTTAAAGCTGCACTATGGAAGATGAAAAAGGGGAAGGCATGTGGATCAAATGATATTCCAATAGAGGTTTGGATGGCATTAGGAGATGCTGGAATTGTGTGGCTCACTAAGGCCTCGTTCACTTCGCGGATTCAAGTTTTCAATTCGAGTTGAGATGTGACATTTTCTGAGAGCTTTTTACTGTTGCAGAAAATTTTGATGTGACATTTTCTGAGAACTTTTTACTGTAGAAACCTAAAACTGAAAACTCGAATCGGTGAAATGAACGAGGCCTAAACTTTTTAATGAGATACTAAAGAAAAAGCATATGCCTGATGCATGGAGGAAAAGTATTCTTGTCCCCATCTTCAAGAATAAAGGAGATGTGCTGGATTGTAACAATTATAGGGGCATAAAGTTAATAAGCCATACTGTGAAACTTTCGGAGAGAGTTATCGAAAGGAAATTAAGGGCCACAACTACCGTCTCAGGTAACCAATTTAGCTTTATGCCAGGCAGATCAACCACAGAAGCCATTTTTCTTCTTAGGATGTTGATGGAAATGTACAAAGAAGCCAAAACGGACCTACATATGGTCTTTGTAGATTTAGAAAAGGCATATGATAGGGTGCCGAGGAAAGTTTTATAGTAGGTGCTAAAAAAGAGATGAGTGCGTGTGAGGTATATCAAGGTAATTAAAGACATGTATGATAGGGTGGTCACGAGTGTGAGAACTGTTGGATGCTACACGGCAGAGTTCCCCATTCAGATCGGCATTCATCAAGGATATGCTCTTAGTCCTTATCTTTTCACCATCGTGATGGATGAGCTGACAAAAGAAATCCAAGATAGAGTTCCTTGGTGTATGCCTTTTGCGGACGATATAGTTTTAGTTTATGAACATAGGAAAGGAGTTAACCGTAAGTTAGAACTGTGAGGAAAGACTCTCAAGACGAAGAGATTTAAGTTAAGTAGGACGAAAACTGAATACATGCATTGTAGGTTTAGTAACTCAAGTAATCAGAGTGATGAAATTTCTTTAGATGGTGTGAAAATTAAAGCTTCTAGGAAGTTTAGATACCTTGGATCTATAGTGCAGTACGAACGAGATATAGAAGAAGATATTCAACATAAGATTAAGGCATGGTGGGTTAAGTGGAAGAATGCTACAAGAATTTTATGTGATGGCAAGATACCTATTAAGTTGAAAGGAAAGTTCTATAGGACTGTAATCCGCCCAGCTATGTTATATGATAGTGAATGTTGAGCCATTAAGAGACAACATTTATCTAAAATGAGTGTGACAAAAATGCGTATGTTAAGATGGATGAGTGGCCATACGAGAATGGATCGCATAAGGAATGAAGTTATTCGTAGTAAAGTAGGTGTAGCACCAATAGAAGATAAAGTGCGCGAAAGCCGCTTAAGGTGGTACGGACATGTCCAACGTAGACCGCAAGAAGCACAAGTTCGTGCTTGGGAGGACATTCTTATACCTAATACTAGGAGAGGGAGTGGTAAACCAAGAATCACGTGAACCTAAGTAGTTAGGAAAGACATTCTAGATCTAGACCTTCATAAAAGTTTAGTTTCGAACATAACTGCGTGAAAACGTGAAATCCATATAGACCCCAATTAAGTTGAGATTAAGGCTTGTTGTTGTTTGTTGTTGTTGTTGTTGATTCTTTTGGTTATAGTGGTATTCCCGTTGATGCCCAACACAACGTGGAAGAATGGCAGTTTACCACTAATGAATTTATTACGCAGGAATCTACTAATCCGAGCCATAGTGGACGTACTGGAGGTCGTGGTCGCAATGGTAGTGGGCATGAAAAAGCAACGAGTGTAAGTGCTACTGCGTCTGCAAGTGTTGCAACCTCCAAGAGGAAATGCAAGTGCATCTCGACAGTTTAGGATCACTTCAACACAATTGAGGAGATCGACAATGAAGGTAACACTAAACATATAGTTCAGTGTAAATATTGTTTATCTAAATTACAATGTGACACTATTCACGACACAACACATTTGAGAAGACACTCCGA